ATTCAACGGAACGCCACCGTCTTCTTGCTTCAGTTACCACCGCCCGGGGAATCTTGTCGGAGGTTTTGCGTGAAGTATATAAAATACCTGTGGGAAAGAGTGTTATGTATACACACTTCGAGCGCGAAGGCGCGAGTTGTCCTGCGGGTTTTAACGAAACGACGCCGACGGCTCTCCCGTGCAAATTCTACAGTCGGATCGCAGCGTGGACGTAGCTGTGCGCAGCGCGAAATTTTCTGCTACTGCCAGCACCCTCTGAAATTTTACTGATCGCTCCTCTCGAAACAGTTGCCCTCGACTCGGCTACGCATCGCGCGTGCAAGTAGGAAAAAAGCGGGGACAGACGATATCGGTCGGACGGGATCAGCGAACGCAGGATCTTCATTTCGCCGCGCTCGGTATCGCGAGATTAAGCGTATGCAGGCGTCCCGGGCTAACTTTACGAGAATCGCTATGGATCACAGGCAGGGGACGCGCGCAAGAGTTCCGAAGCGGAGCGGAAGTTTCGACGTTAAATGTTTTTTTAACTCGTATTACTTACAGCTAGCTCGTCCGCGCGGCCGTGCGCGCGCCTACTGTGGTACACGTTAAAAGCGGAAAAGTAATAAAGTCAACTTATAAATATTAAAGTTCCCGTCGCTTTTCTACCGTTTCTTCCGAATACTTAATGCTCGAGCGAAATGAGACGTCGGTATACGTCGCGCGCCGCTTTATCTCTTTCTTCTCTCATCTTTTCGCCTATTTTTTTTTTTTTTTTTTTTTTTCTTCTTACGAATGTAACAAATGCCCGAATATTCTTTTTGTCGTAGCCCTCGCCGATCCCGTGGCGTCCTCGTCCGCGTCTTTGTCCTCTTTCTCCCTCGCGAGAAATGCGAGAGATACGGATATACCTTGTCTGCGTGACGAATTTTGTTACGCCCTCGTGCATAATTGAACGGGACAGCGAGTCGAGTTGGATTAAATTCGCGTGTATGCGTATGTATGTATGTGTCAGAGAGAGAGAGAGAGAGAGAGAGAGAGAGAGAGAGAGAGAGAGAGAGAGAGAGAGAGAGAGCCGTTTCCAAGGTGCTCTTAGAGAAATCAAACTACGACGGGCAATTCCTCGAACGGTCGTTTGTATCCCGAAGATGCCGCGATAACGAGTCGAAACACGGGCGCGATTTGCGTCTGACTATCGAGTGAACGCGCAAATACGTCGTCACCGGCAGCGCAGCGCGGACACGAGAGACACTCCGCGAACGAGCGAGCGAGCGAGCGATCGATCGATGGCGGCGGCGGCGGCGAGCCGATCCGACGGAATTAATGAGATCACGACTGCCGAGTAGACTCGCGCAGATCTCTCGTGTTCCAAGAACCGCGGCGACCTTTCACCTGCGTGATCCCATCGATCATCCTCGCCCATGAGTCCGGTTACGGAAGTCGGTGCGGGAGAGGCGCTCGTTCGTTCGTTCGTTCGTTCGTTCGTTCGTTCGTTCGTTCGTTCGTTCGGGAATGCCGAACCGTGCAACGCGATACGGCCGGACGCATTTTAATAGCGTAACCGTATCGGCGTCCGATCGGGGTCGCATTTTCCTCCGGCGCCTTTTTCTACCCCGCGATCGCGATCGCGAGCCGAGTGAGCGCTTCTTCGCCGAGTCACGTTTTTATTCCTCCGGCCGAGCCAGACGAGCGCGCGATGGGATAATCGATAGCGAAATGCTAATTCCGCTCGACAGGTGTTTCAGGTATTCCTCAGACGTACCGCTGCGTTATTAGTTATTTCGCGCTCGTCGCTTGCCTCTCGCGACGCGCTCCTCCTCGAGCGCTCCCGTAACCCCCCGCGTGTCCGACGCGTTTTTCTCCTTTTCCTTCGGCTCTATGATTCTTTTCGCGAAATCTGGCCTACGCGAGATTACAGCGGCGCATCGATCCGCGCGATTCCAGCGCGAGCGAGGGGAGCTCGCCCCTGCATACGCTCCTCTTTTTTCTTCTCGTCTCTCCCACTCTCTCCCTTTTTTTTTTTTTTTTAATATAACACGGAAGCTACGTACGCGCATCCGTTGGTTACATAGCTCCAATATTGGTACATCTGACATTATCGATGTTGTTCCTTCGGTGCGGCGGTATTTTACGTTTCGAACGTTGCACTCTCGTTAAGAAATATTTTCTTCCCCGGCTAAAAATCACTAAAACACAGCGCGCGAGCAGCTTCGCCGCGGGTGATTTTACACGTTTCTCTCTCTCGCTTCGTCGTCATGCGCGCCCTTGTTGCTCTCACGCGCGCATTTACGATATTTTTTCAAACACCCGGAAATATTCAACATCGGGCTCTCTCAAAATGCAGCATCGCCTCTCTCTCTCTCTCTCTCTCTCTCTCTCTCTCTCTCTCTCGCTGCTCCTTCACGGCTGGGTTTCTCGACCGATCTCCGCTAGCTGTGCAGCCAGCCGGCCGACCGTAAATTCCACCGCTGGCCGGCGCGGCGTCCGGCCAGATCCCACTTCTTTCACTTCGGCCCGCGGCGGATGTACGGCGGACGGCAGCCGGATGCGCCGCTTGATCTTCAGCCGTTCCGCGGCGTCCGATGCGATTTCGATATTCGCTAAACAATGGCAGTCTACAGCAGCAGCGCTACCGCTAAGCACGACTTTTATCCGCCGACGGAGAAGGAGGCGGAGATACCACCGGGGCGAGGAGGAGACGGAGAAACACGACGAAGGGAGCGTTAGCAGCGGGAGGCGTCGGAGAATCCTTATCCCTCTTATCCTCGCACTTGCACTGTTTCCATTCCGAATCCGGCGGCAGGGATTACTTAACTGGGGAAATTCATCCGAGCGAGAAGAGTGAGAGGGAGACGGAGAAAGAGAGAGAGAGAGAGAGAGAGAGAGAGAGCGGCCGTCTCGCGCCGACCGATCGGTCGTTGGAATAAAACTTATCCTCGGCGACGCGAAAGCAGTCGCGCGAACGCCAAAGTCTGGCGGAGCGGTTACATCGGCCGAGCAGCCGGAGAGAATCCGCGATTATTCTTGCAGTGGGCCGCGGACATGTATAATCGCGAGAACTCCCTCGGAGAACGGAGCCGCGCCTCCACGGTCGACGTGGATCGAACGTCGCTTAATGAGGCCGGCGCGCTGAGAACGCCGCGGCAGTTAATTTTCACGATAGACAAGTGGCGCGAAACTAGAAAAGGGCGATTGTAAAAACGTTTGACCCCTTGCACTGAGACGACTAAACGTCCAACTCGCCGCGAAATTTCTGCGCCAAAGTAGGCAATGACGAGCCAGGGATTTTTAAGCGCTCCGTCTACCGGAGTGTTTCGAGAAATATCGCGCGCTTGAAGATCAGTAATACATCCGAAAATAGGTCGGAATAAAATATTGAAAGGATAAATATATAGTTACATTGTTATATTGTCGCCTTATGTACGAGCATTGTGTTTCCAAAATATTTTTTCTCAGGCGTTACACTCGAAGAGCTGCGATACTTTTCTCACGACAGAGAAATCTCACGACACGCAACTTATTTGTTCCTAATATAATATATATGAATATTCAGCTATAAGCTTAAGGAGCATTCGATACAAGTGAATATTGCGCCGTCGACTGGTAAGCGCAATTATTTCAGCGACAAAAGTCAAAGTTTCTATGCTGACCACGCAGCTTTATGAAATTGTGAAAAATTGCAAATTGCACGCCGCTGCATCGTCGCCCGCGAATAAATTGCGGTGAAAGAGGTTAATGAGGAAATCGACCGTCGTTCCACTTGCAGAAATATGAGCGTTAATTTTTCAGCGTCGCGCGCGACTGTTAGAGTTTCAGCGACGCGGCTGTTAGACATGTACGAATAAAGCATTCAACGCGGAGGAGATACCTCGCGATATGATAACCGTTACTTTCGCCTTACAAGCGCTATTTAAGGACACGCGTCTGCATAGCTACGCGGTCTCGCGTGCACGGGAGGAGGATATAGCTCGGCCGGGCGTGTTCGGCGCAGCGCGGCGCCGCCGGGGCAGCGAAATGTTTCGAGAAGAAGCGGCAAGAAGAAACGTGGACGGAGCATGTCAAAGAGTTATTGGTAATTGCGCCGGCCTTCCCGGGCCATTGGCCTTGATAGCTTCATACTTTACGAAATCGAATGGGAGACCGCATTCGTGTCTAGCTTCTCTTATATACTGCCTCACTAAAATCTTGGCCCGGACAATAGATAATAGAAGGAATACCGTCCCCTTGGCCGGCGGGCGCGGAGAAGGATCGCCCGCCGCGATATTTAGGTAGCTATGTAGCCAAGCGCTCTTTCTCTTTCCACCTCCGGCAGACGCGCGCCATTTATAAGTTACCGCGGAATGCCTGAGCGCTTTGGATTATCGACACGAGTATCTTCAACTAATGAGAAAGCGCGCGTGTCTCTCGCGGTCTCGCGTGTGTCACACACGTGTGCCGCATACATCATTGTTGCATCGTGCTGGATATATTCGGTTGGCGACTAAGTGATTGCGGATTTTGTCGACAGATGGATTTTGCACTTTCTTTTGTTTCGTTAGCGTGTTCAGAGTACCTAACCTATATTTTTTTCTTATTGTTTGAACTTCTACCTTTCGTTTAGTACAAAAGTTATATCGATTAGTTGTTTAGTTTTGTTTTTATCCCAATTTAAAAATGGAAGAGCAAGACGTGCTGCACTTCAGACATATTTTATTGTATTATTTCCGAAAAGGCAAGAACGCATCGCAAGCACACAAGAAGTTATGTGCCGTATATGGAAATGAAGCCTTGAAAGAAAGGCAGTGTCAAAAAATTGGTTTGCCAGATTTCGTTCTGGTGATTTTTCATTGAAAAATGCTCAACGATCTGGCCGTCCAGTTGAAATCGATGAGACCCATATCAAGGTCATTATCGATTCAGATCGTCATAGCACAACACGTGATATTGCAGAGAAGCTCAATGTATCGCATACATGCATTGAAAAAAATTTAAAGAAGCAAATTTAAAATTTTGAATTTTTCATTCTTATTTAAAATCCGCAATCACTTAGTTGCCAACCCAATACATAGCAAGCCGGCGCACAGTAGGGCCAGATGACATTCTTTGGTTGAAAATTCTCTAGAGACCTGAATCTCCAACCGATCGTCGACACCAATGGATGAGGTTGGATTGGACCTGGATAAATTCCGAAGAGATCTGTCTTGCCGAAATTTTGAGAAAAAATTTTTTCCTCCAATCACTTGCCCCAAAAGAGGAAAAATTATCGTTAAACGCTTCCGAAATCGAGAAACCCTTGTGAAATACTCATTATTCGACACTTATTTCTATCTGATAGCGTATTCAGCGGATCGAAACTATGAAACCAATCAACAGACACCTTGAGATTTATCGATCTTGAAGCAGAAACCCATTAACTCAAAACTCACATGCCCAAAATACAAAAACATCAAATATAGACCGGTTAAGCACGAAACCGAGGGATTTTGAGTCTTAAGCCCATCAACCTACACTGATAGAAAAATATAGTTGAGTTAACTATAATCTCACTATATTTTATAGTTCATTTTGGCGTCAATCATATTTTTATAGTTCGTGGAACCTGCGAAATATAGTAGAATAAACACAACGTCAATGTCAATGATTGTCTTAAATAATTGTTTGGTTACTTTCACCACCATATATGGTAATTTCTCATTCACAAATATATTGAGATTTAATATTCATATAGTTACATCTGTCATCATTTAGCAAATATTCTGGTAATATTGACTATATATAAAAGAGTTACTTTACCTACCATTTTATATTTGTATCCATACAATAATTTTAGTTTAACTCACTACAATTCTTAATATTATATATTATATATGGTTGGTTATACTATGCCTATATCGTAATTATTACCGATATTATGGTAACACTTACTATAAATATGATATTTCGAACTGTAATTTAGTTACTATATCATTATAGTTCCAAATATCATATACTTTTCTCTCAGGGTAGGAATCTATCAATCCGAGAACCTTTTACCTGAACTGATGAGCTTTGAAATTCTGAGTTTTCTCGAACCCATTGAGGTCGAATCCAAGACACTGTACTTTGAACGATAAACTTTTAAGACAAACCCCAAAAACTCACGAACCCTGAACCGATAATGTTTTTCCAAATTTCAGCTAGACAGATCTCTTTGGAATTTATTCAGGATCAACCTCATCCATTGGTGTCGATGATCGCTTGGAAATTCAAGTCTCCAGAGAATTTCCAAGCAAAAAATGTCATCTGGCTCCACTGTGCGCGGCGCTCTCGTACGTCAGCTGAGAAATGCTCTCTCTCTCTCTCTCTCTCTCTCTCTCTCTCTCTCTCTCTCTCTCTCTCTCTCTCTCTCTCTCGACACCGTGCGGACTGATCTGACGTTTCGCCGCCGCGGCTGAAAGAATTTTTTTTCCGCGCCCGCGACGCGACGATGATCGCGCGAGCCTCGCTTTTCCCTTCTGCCGACGACGCAATTAGGCACGGCGACGAAATATGACGCGCCGTCTCATCAGGCAGTCCACGGTGCAATCGTCGGCGCGAGATGGAATTTTTCCAGCCGGACACCGAGGGATGCGCGCGAACGGGCGCGCATCAGCCTCGTCTTCTCGCAGGTTCTCGTTGTCTTCCCACGGGTGTGGCGCGGTCGAGCCACTGCACGTGAGTACACTAAATAATTAGTGAAGCGCGCGGGTTTCGAGCCGGCAGTTAAGCAGGTCGGTAGGTTACGCAGCAGCACTAAGCGACGCGATGGCGGGACGTAGGAGAGAGAGAGAGAGAGAGAGAGAGAGAGAGCGAGAGAGAGAGAGAGAGAGAGAGAGAGAGAGAGAGAGAGAGAGAGAGAAACGGCGGCAGAGCTTCGGCGCGCAGCGTGTACCGGGGATAAGAACCGCCCCCGCCCGCGTTCCCCACTAAGTAGATGCTTGTCAGCGGAAACTTAATTAAATATCCAAAGTGGATGCCGGAATTACTACAATTAGTATGACGGCTCTCCTAACCCGTCCCTTATTACCCGGCTAGTCCCGTCCGACCCGTTCGCGGGTATTACTACTTAATGTCTAATAAACGTCACGCGCCAGTCGCCGGAGAGTCGTATGTTATTACTTCTTTTTTTCTCTCTCTTGCTTCCTTCTTTTTCTCACTCTCGTCTTCTCGCCTTCTGTCTTCGCCCGCGCGATGAGACGACGTGTTGGAATTCCGGTGAAATTTCAACCACGTGGGACGAGCGACCCGGCGAAACTTGGCTAATAGTCGTCATCGCGGCCCTTCACAGCCTTCATGGTCGCCGATAGCCCGCCGATAACTACTCGTTTAATAAGTACTTGAAAAAAGGACAAGGACGGGAAAAGTGACGTCGGATACTCAGGGACGTCGAATTCGCGGGCTACGGCGGAGTCGAGGAGAAATGTTATCTAATTAAATCGCTGGTCCCCCTCCCTCCCTCTCTCTCTCTCTCTCTCTCTTTCTTTCTCTCTCTCTCTTTCTTTCTTTTTCTGACGTGCGAGAGGACCGAAAACAAGGAAGATGTAAGAACCGGGAAGAACCATGAAAACCGACGAGAGAAACCCTCTGTTCGTAGTCACCACTGCGTGACGATGTGTTGCATGAAATTGAAATTACAATTTGTGTAATGCCGCCTGTAATCAAATGACGATTGGCCCGGGTGAGGGTATTGGCGAGAAAAACGAGTTTATCGAGTTCCGCAATAAATTTATGAAAAAATATTCCGATATAAATATTCATAATAATTTGCGTTTAATTCGATACAAATCGCAGGCGGAAATTTATTTCATTTCATTCTCTCACAATCTCGCTGTCTCTCTCTCTCTCTCTCTCTCTCTCTCTCTCTCTCTCTCTGTCACTCTGCACAAAACAGCCATCCAGGTAGAGGCAAATAAAGCGTATTTTCGCATCTCGAGTGGATACCATCAGTGTGCTTGAATGACTTAAAAATTAACTAGATGAAGAAGAGATGAAATGTATAAATTTTCCTTTTAGCGTTTCTTCCTGATGAATGCCGATGCAATCTCAGCCTCAATGCTGTCCGGCACACGCGATGCTGACGCACATGTCCACGGTGCACAAAGAAACACTTCGATATTTTACACATTTTTAGACTAAATTATCCGTGAACGTCATCTTTGATAACTTTGTAAGACAGACAACACTTTTTTCCCTTTCAAGATGCTGATAAAAAAGGTAATCTATATTTGCATTATCTAGATAAAGATAAATTGGTGCCGGAACTTCGCCTGTACGACCATCGGTGTAATTTTATCCGGATAACGGCAAACCCCGTTACGGCAATCTTCCGAGAATATCGCGAGATATCGGAACCGAATAATTCCATGAAAGATCCCACGATGAGCTCGATATAGCAGCGGCGACGCGCGCGCGGTGTTTTAACTTACAACATTAATACACGAGCACAATCGCCGGAAGTGATTCGGCTGGAAGCGATTCCCGTCTCCCTGCCGCCGAGGGAACCCGGCGGGTCGGAGAGGGGAAGAAAAGAGAGAAGAAGCCGGACGGCTTTTGTCTCGCCGTCGTCCACCGAGATTTTTCCCTGCCGATTTAATTGCGGGGAGAGAATTGCCGGCTGCGGCGGAGACGTGGGCGGACGCGGGGAGGAGGGAGAAGGAAAAGGAGCGCGAAGGAGCGTCAGTAGTCGTTTATTAGAAATCGACGAGCAAACGAAACGCGGCCGAAACGCCGCCGGCGATATTGACAAATGGCCCGAATTACAGGCCGGCGCGCATTGGCGTACCGCGCGCGCGCGCGAATCGATCATCAGGCGTCGCGCTCGCGTAATTCGCTCCTTCATTTAAATAAACTTACGTCCGCCGGGCGACGTTTCCGGGACATCGTCCGGGAGCGTAATTCGCGCCGTTATTTGTGGCCCGGTCGCGCCGGTCGACGCGCTCGGACGGACGGTGTTTGGCGATTTGGCGCCGGCTCGGCCGTCGATAAATCCCGCTCAAAACATCGATGTAATTCAGATTAGATTTTCGCGACCCACACCTCATCCGGCCGATCGATTTTCGCATCAGACGCCGTCGGGCTTAATTCTCTGGGGCGCTCGCGCGGCCCCGAGAGAGGGAGAGAGAGAGAGAGAGAGAGAGAGAGAGAGAGAGAAAGAGAGAGAACGGCACGGTCGCGAGCGTTGGCGTTATCGGATACCACCGAACGTTGAAGAGCGAGAGCGCAAGAGAGACAACGGCTCTCTTTGTGCAATTTATTAAACGGAAGCTAAGAGAACACGGGCACGGGGGGGGGAGGAGGGAAGGCACGGAAAAATACCGCAGAGTGGACAAATGACGACAAACGAAAAAATGAAGGTGATCACGAGTGACAAGGATAACGAGAAAAGATGATAAGCGATAGGCTATATATACCGCCACGCTACACCGAGTACACCTATAACTATATCTATTTGGGCCCGGAGGAGGGGGGGTATGAGGGAAACGTTTTACAACAGAATATTGTCCCGCGTAATCCGCTCTCCAATATCTCATCATCTTTCTTATTCCTTCTTTTCGCCGTCGCCTTCTTCGAAACCGACGAACGCACTCCCTCCCCCCTCTCTCTCTCTCTCTCTCCCCCCCTCCTTCTTATTACACAAAATGTGCAACGCTGTTTTTTTCCCTCTATCCCGGTGCGCGAGGGAAATAATGTCGAGGGGATTTGAGCCGCGATTACTAACATGGTGACAAAATGCAACGAAAGATCTGTTCCCGCGACATCTGTCGCAGCTAGCGATGGGCAAATATCGATCGATGAAGCAAGCATCGATTCTTATTTTCTTGAAAAATCGATCATCAGACCGATATTTTTGGGGCCGATTATTCCGTAGATCGATTATTTTTTTCGTCGATTATATCACTAGATTTGTTACTAAATTTTTGACACTTGGGAATTTGTTTACTACTATTAAGGCCCGTCTACAATAGCTGCAAAAATAAAGCTGTAACAGTAAACAGTAAAAAATAAACCAACAACTGTCGATTGTTATAAGAACAACCGACTTTAATTGGTTTATTTCTTGTAGCTTACGCTTTATAGCCTTATTCTTATGCAAGCTTATGCTTGCAACCATTGTAAAAGGGTCTTTAAGGTTTTAATAATATATTAATTTATTGTTG